CCTGGGGGGCAGTTAGGGGGGGTCAGGGGTAGGGGTAGTGAGGGGTTAAGGAACAGGGGGGCTTGGGTAGGGGGTGGGGTTCTGGAGGACAGTTAGGAGCAGGGGTCCCAGGAGGGGGCAGTCAGGGGACAAGGAGCGGGGGGAGGGTTAGGGGTTCTGAGGGGAGTGAGTGGGGGGGGCTAGGGCGGGGCTCCTCCCGTCCTCTTTTTTGCTTGCTAAAATATGGTAACCCTAGGAAAATCCCTAGTCCCATGCTGTAACTGCTTTTTGGAATCTTTGCTTAGCTTTTACTCGGGGAATAAATGTAAAAGGGCCATGTAACCTAAAGCATATCTTTGTGGCTATCATTTCTGGAAAAAAGCCCAGCAAGAGACATGAAGAGATTCCATGGGCCCTAAAGATTACTTACCCCTCATTCTGAAGATACAGCTGATCGAGAGGGAGGCCTCCTGTAGTTTTCTGTTCAGGTGGTCTGTACCACCTGAATATTTGAGATTAGGGTGCATTCAGCAGAGTAGCAACTCCAATGGAATCAGAAGGTTCCCTGCTCCCTTCTTCTTCCAGATATGTATGGATAGTTGGTCCTCACCACATGTTGTTGTGCTGGAGAGTTATTCCAGGCTTAGTGTTATAAGACTTTTCAGTAGCTTGGGTAGCCACAGCAGAGGGAGAGGATTGGACTCAGCATATGGAGTTATTGATATGCGGCATGCAGGAAACTCATTTACATTCCTATGTGTCTCTACCTCCATGCTGCAGAGCTCACTTTATTTTGTATGTTACCATTTTGCTGCATATGTGCTAACTTGAGTAGGTTATCCCATTTCACAGCCAATATATGTGAATTTGTAGAGCCATTCCCATCATAGAAAGCCACGCAGAATTTTAGCTGAACAGAACCAATATCTGAAATTACTGTATTGTGCACCCCTGAGAAAGGATCCTATGTTCTACAGTACCAAGGCACAGCAATGCAGACTCAGATATGTTGGGCCAGTCTCAGGCCCTGATTCATGAAAGCAGTTAAGCACACACTTAAAAAAAATTCATGAATAGGGATGCTTTCCTGAATTGGGGCCTTAAATCCAAATTTTGCTTAGTTTTTTTTTTGTTTGTTTTTTAATTTGGTGGCTTTATACTTTCAGATTCTGTTTTTAAATACATCTTGAATAGATGAGACAAAAAAATGAGTGCCACATTAACTTCATAGAGGATCATCTATAAATGGGCTTAGGTGGTATCCAGACTGGTATTGATTACAGTGAAATCTTAAGGTATGCACATAGTGTTTAAAAGTGTGAAGACTGGTTAAGATACAAGATGGTACCAATTATTTAATATTAGAAATGTAACTGTGGCTGGGTACAAAAGAAATTAATTGGGTAACTGTGCTAATGAGAACAATTTTCAATCTTTAGAGAACATCAAGTGGATGACATGGGAAGACCGTGCAAAAGCATCAATTTTGAAGCAGAAGGTAATATTTTTCTTTGAAAACTGACACATTCTGTGATACTTTAATTTACTATCATATTGTATATAAAGTGGTTTTTTTATTAGTCAACCCTTAATTTACAAATATTACAGAGGGTGGTGGATTGAACAACTCAGAATTAGTAATGGGATATAGAACTGTCTGTCTCCAGATTGATTGAAATCTGGCCCAAGTTGGTAATGAAACAGTTACTACCATCGAGACGTTTTGGTGATAGTATATGTGGGATGAGCTAATGATCACTACAGTTCCTTCTAAATTTGTCACATTCTGACAATTTCAGTGGAGACCAACGATTAAATTGACATGGAGATTGAACTGGTTGTTCCAACTGATCACATAATGATACTCTTATCAGCTATAACCAGCCACCATTTGTATACATAATTTTGTGTGATATTGTGCAGTTTTACTGTGTATGATCCATAATTTACAGAGTCCTATTAAAATCTATGTTACACAAGTCTAGGTTTAAATTAGAGGTAATATATATATGTTACATTGGTAACCAATTCACAAACAGTCCTTGCTGCACAAGGTGCTGCTCCTACCTACCCTACAATAGGTACCATACAGCATTTGTGTATCCTGTTATGCAAAGTTCAATTTTTTAAAATGGTGTGCACATCCCATTCACTTGGATGGGGTTTATACTGTCTTAGGAAAAATTACAGCTAATCATAAACCCCCTTTTAAAAGGAAACATTATATTGGTAATCTAACTATTTCAGTGCCATATACACTTCTACCCCGATATAACGCTGTCCTCGGGAGCCAAAAAATCTTACTGCATTATAGGTGAAACCGCGTTATATTGAACTTGCTTTGATCCGCCGGAGCACGCAGCCCCGCTCCCCCGGAGCGCTGCTTTACCGTGTTATATCCAACATTTGTGTTATATTGGGTCACGTTATGTCGGGGTAGAGGTGTATTATAGTTTTCTATATTAAGTTATAACAGATCATTGCAAACAATCTGAAAATCAGTTTTTATCAAATTTAAACAAAAATCTTTGAAATTTACCATTTCTGCCATGTTGAAAATTTATTGTGGAGGATGTTGCTGGGGCCCTTTGTTGCTTGGGAATTCATCTGTGGGATATAGAGCTACAGAGAAGCTGATTAAGAAACAGATTCTCTATTTAGTGTGATCTTCAATATTTTCCAGGATTACTTAATGTTTGTCCCTCACACATAAGGAGAAATCAATAGTAATTTACATATTTTCTTGGAAATGGTGAATACTCTTTCCACCATCATTCAAATCATGCTCACTCTTAGCCAGAGTCAATTTTTTTAATGTAAGTCTAGGGGAATTGAAATGTAAATCCTTCTTTTAAAAAATAAATAAAATAATTTACTCCCAAAATATGTCTATACCCAAACCCAGAAAGATTCATGTCATGGAGTGTGGCTCCTCTCTTGCCTTCTTCCTGCAGAAACTGCACAGCTTCCCATGGTTGTGTCATCACAGTGTCCTTTTATTTTTAGTTCCCTCTATCCTTTTCACAAGAGTCCCTGTGCAACAATGTATTTACAATGTTAACCTAGCTTTTGGCCCTCTCACCAGCGCCTGAGGGGAATGGAGGTCTCCCACCTCTGTGTGGCTAGGCTCAGCTAGCCCTGTTCCTCCCTCTCCTCTCCTGGCATTTCGTTCCTGTCTCTTTATCAGCCTTGGGCTGATGGGGTAATTGGCTCCTTATACCATTCAACCAGCCAGCGTGATTGACTAATTACCCCCATCAGCTTCCTGAAGAGGAACTAAGTAATAACTGAATGATCAGAGTGCAGGCTCTCCTGTTTGCATCCTGCATTCTGTCACAATTGTACATTATGCATAATATTATTAATACCTGTAGCCGCAGAGTAACATTAGAGCTCATTAATTGAATTGTAAAACTTCTTAATTTTGCAATTTAGTTCATTCTTATGTTTCTTTACAGAAAGTGATTATGTGGATCAGGATGCCCAAGGCAACATTGACCAGGTTGCTGTTGTAGCAACCAACATTCTTTTTTTTGTCATTTTGTTTGTTTTTGCTGTCTTTGAAACGTAAGTCTACCAGTTTTCTCCTGTTACTCATTAATTAATGTTTGTAAAGTTCTTTGAAGACATAAAGTGCTCATAGGCTTTTCTGTTGCACTCATTACCTAACTGAATGTTTCGCAAATATAAGTAAGCATTATCCCACCTCATCAAAAACAAGCCATAATTAAAATTGAGTTGTATGATATTTTCCATTTAGTGTGGCACATCAATTTAACAGAGTATCATTATGTAGTACTTTTATATAAGGAACAGTTATATTTAAACTTTTGAATGAAATGTAAACCCAAATTGCTGAACATTTGTGGCTATTGAAGATTTCATTGTGCTCCTCACACGAGTTGTAAACCCCAATGTCACATCAGATTTCAATAGAGGTAATTTAATTCTATCTACCAAATCTCTGCAAGGGAAATAATATTTTCAGTTGGATACATTGTCCTTTATCTCCTGTCCTAAAAATTGTGTAGCCCTGTAGTGCATTTGTAAATGGCTAGGACATTCCACTTCAGACTTGTTTCAATAGTGGTTGAAGCGATTCTTATATATAGGTGCAGTTTGCACAGTACTTTGGTATCCTTTAGGATTAAAGAATCTAGCTATGTTGAGATGTGACTGCAGTGTATAAACCTAAACTTGAAAAAGGACAAGTCAGTGCTTAACAATAATAATAGGGGGATTTCATAGATGAATGAGGGAAAATAAGAAAATGTAATGTACATCTGAAGAAGTGAGGTTTTTACCCACAAAAGCTTATGCCCAAATAAATCTGTTAGTCTTTAAAGTGCCACCAGACTCCGTGTTGTATCTGTTTAGGGTGACTCTTGTACATTAAAATGGGTAAACTGACATAATTTTGAAGGGATAAGCTTGTGTGCAGAATTTTGAGCTATAATATCACATATTTGAAGTTTTTGTTCCCTACTGAGTATGTCTTATAAAAATGTATTTGATATTTACAAAACATCTCCGTTCAGACTTCAGTTTGACAAAGTGTAGCAGTTTTTCCTGTATACAATGGTAGATTACGTCTGAGTGATTTTTTTTTTATTTTATTTTTTTAATGAACATATGTGGCTGCATGCAATAGAACTCTGATGGATCTTAAGTTTGCTTTTTTCACTGGCAAAGTCTGGGAGTACTATATGGAAACAGAATTGCAAAGCATAATTTTGATGGCAATAGTGTCCAGCCTTTCTTGTTAGATTGAAGATCATTTGGTGGAATAGAGGGAAGGGAAGGAGAAGAAATGAATGGAGGGATTTTAGTAAGTGAACGTTTGTTTTACCCCAGTGGCAAAGGGGCCGGTGACTACAACATAATGGCCAAATTTTCTGTGCTTTGTGAAAGGAAACAAATGCACATATCCCATTAACAGTAATTACAGCTGTATAGCTAAACCTTGAACACCATAAATTAAATAAGTTACTATTCAGTCTTATATATTTATCTTTTACATGCAAAGGACCAGATTTTTCCTTTCCATTGTATTAATTGTACACCATCATGAATCCATTGAAATAATTCATGTTACATCAGTGTAGAATTGGTATAATGGAATGGAAAGTCAAGCCCAGAGGATTTGTTGTAAGTGATGCATCACAAAATGATGTTATAAACAGCGTACATGTTCTTGTCTGTTTGTCAGGAGGGAAGGCTTCTGTATGACCATATCTGATACTATAGAGAATAAATATATGGATGATGCTCTTCTGGGATAACCTTTGTACAGGTTTTATTAATGTCTCTCCTATTTTTTACTGCCTAGCATAGCTACTCCATTGACAATGGATATGTATTCCTGGACCAGGAAAGAAGCAGTTTTTTATAATGGAATTATCCTTGGTGCAATTGGCATTGAATCAGTCATTGTCTTCATGGTGGTTAAAGTAGTTTCTAAACAGTAAGTCACTCATCAGGTTTTTGCTCTTGTTTATCTTAATGTAAACAGACAGGAAAATGTTTATCTGGGGAACTTTAGGTCAGGTCTTCATTATCTGAATCAAATTCTGCTCATCTTATTTTAGCAAATGATAGAAATGTAGGGGCTACAAGGAGACCTCTAGAGATCACTATTCTAGCCCCCTGCCCTGTGGTAGGATTAAGTATACCTAGACCATCCCTGATAGGTGTTTGTCTAACTTGTTCATAAACACCTCAAAGAACTGGGATTCCACAACATCCCTAGATAACTTGTTCCAGTGCTTAACTATCCTTATAGTTTAAAAGTTTTTCCTCATATCTAACCTAAATCTCCCTTGCAGCAAACTGAGCAGGTTACTTTGTGTCCTGCTCCTGGTGGATATGAAGACCAATTTATCACTGTCCTTTTTAGAAAAACCTTTTACATATTTGAAAACTTATGTCTCCCCTCGGTCTTCTCTTCTCTAGACTAAAGTAATTATGCCAAATTCTTTCAACCAAATAGTTCTACTTAAGTCATTGCAACTAGTCATCTGAATAAGTTGTACAGGATTTGTATTTGTGTATAGTAGATTATTTTTAGATACATTTGGTCATGAATATGTATTATTTAGTTATAGTTTTCATTATTCAACAGGACTGGTGAGCGTGCTATACTCTATGGAGGCCTACTGATTATCTTGGTTGGATTCTTTATCTTGTTACCTTGGGGAAAACAATTACCAAATATCCAGTGGGAAGGTATAATTATAAATAACGCTAAACTGTAGTCTAAGCATTTCATTAACATATTTTTTTAAAATGGGATCCCTTGCTTAATTTCACAGATATAAAGAATAATTCCGTTCCCAGAATCATCTTCAGTGAAATGTTTACACCTTTCTGGAAGCTCCAAACAACACAACTACCATCCAATCACACAGTAGAGCCAACAGGATGCTCTGTTGTGCAGCCCTGGTGCCTGTACACTCCATTGATCCACTTGGCCCAGTATATAACCTCTGATATACTGATAGGATTGGGCTATCCAGTCTGTAATGTCATGTCCTATACTTTATACTCAAAAATTCTAGGACCAAAACCTCAGGTAAGAATGAAAACTAGGGAATTTGTTCAGATTTTGCTATTACTGTAACATGTATACTTGATGGCATAGTTTGTTCCATTTGTCTTTTGATCAAAACTGTTTTGTTGGTTATGGGATGAATCCTCTTGTTTGTTAGACATTTGAAAACAATGAATGTGCATTTTTTTACATTTGAATGCTCTTTATCGACACACAATATATCCATTTAAAACATCTGCTGCAAGTAACTTTTTTTTAAAGAAAAGTTGGGAAAGAAAATTGTTTGATTCATGGACCAGAATGATCAGTTAATCTAACTTGCATATCCCAGGATGCTGAACTTCACCCAATAATTCCTGCACCAGACCCTTATCTTGTGGTTGAACTAGAGCATATTTTTTTAAAAATAGCATCAGTCTTGTTTGTACATCTGGCACAGTGAGATCCATGTCCATGGCTAGGGATCCTAAGATTATAGTAGTAGTAAGTGATGGACAATCCAACAGCTCCCTAGATAAGCTGTTCCTGTGATTAATTATCTTCACTGTTAAAAAAAACTGCGCTGTATTTATCTAGTTTCAGCTTCCAGACATTAGATCTTGTTATGCCTTTGTCTGCTAGATTAAAGAGCCTTCCATGGTCAGAAATCTTCTCCCCATGTAGGTATTTATAAACTGTGAACAAGTCACCTCTTAACTGTCTCTTTGTTTAGCTAAATAAATCAAATTTCTTAAATCTTTTACTGTAAGCCAGGGTTTCCTGTCCTCTAATAATTCTTGTGGCTCTCCTCTGAGCCCTCTTCAATTTTTCAATGTCCTTTTTTGAAATGTGGATACCAGAATTGGATACATTATTCCTGTAGTGGTATTGCAAATGCTGTATTGGTTATGCATCTGAGAATCTTGTAAGCTCACTTTAGCCACAGCATCAGACTATGAGCTCATGTTTAGCAGTTATCCGCCATGGCACCTAAGATCTATACAGAATTACTGGTTTCCACGATATAGTGCCACATCCCGTAAATAGGACCTTCCTTTTTGTGTTCCTAAATGTATGTTATTTACTTCAGTATATCAAACATATTTTACTAATGGAACTAAAGCTTCATTTGCTTTTAAGGCATAGAAAATAGCATTATGGAGAGCTAGATATAGAATATTGGGTTTTTTTCTGTCTCCACACACATGTAATTAACACATTGGGTCTAGCTTCCAAAGGTACAGGTATGTGAAGTCAGACTTATTAGGCTTCCTTCATGCAGTTGGGCCACTTCAAAACACTAGCAAAGATACAAAAGTAGCAATTGGCTTTCTACACTTGTGCTTCCACTTGAAAGATTAATTTTAAATATCCTGGTCTGAAAATTGTGAAGTCACCAGGTGCCACATGGTATTCATCAGTTTTGTCTAGGAATGGGAGGAAGGATAGGAGACAGAATGATAGTTGTGTTTTTAATTGAGTTTTTAATAAGACAATTGAGTTTGGCAGGTTTGATGTTTTTGGTCTTCTTCGAGTGATTGCACATGTCCATTCCACTTCAAGTGTGTACGTGCCCTGTGCACCAGAGTCAGATTTTTCCCGGAGCAGTACCTGTCGGGGCGACGTGTACCCTGAACAGTCCAATGCTGCTGCATGGTGGCTTAAAGGGCAGAGTCGCCCCAGACCCACCTCAGTTCATTTTTACTGCCCAGGATTGGTAGTCAGAGTTGTCTTGCATTCAGGACATCTAATTTTTTTAAAAATCTGATTGTTTTAATTGCACTATGGCAGTACATTGCAATAATAACTATTTGGATATTTTCCTTAACACTGAGGGAGGTGGCTACTTTTCACTTCTGCAGCCGTAGCTGTAGGAAGAATTGGTTAAATTTGCTGCTTTTGCCAACAACAAAGGTATTCTGCAACAATAGAGAAGTCTCCAGTGATCTTAACTGTTTTTAAAGTTTAATACAAGTCCCTTCATGAAAAAGAAAAAAATATTACACTATAAGGCGAGAACTTCAATCTATCGATCCCAAGACTTTCCTGTAATTTTCATGATTATTTTGGAGTATGACATTGTTAATCTAAATTAGATGTTAATCATTAGTGCTGGGGAACATTATTCACATCAGTGAAGCGATATAAAGAATAAATATGAACGTGAATATATGTCCATGCTATCAAAAGGGGTAGATTTAGATAACTGCAATTTATTCAGTTCCCTCCTTTAGCTTCATTTCTGCCACAATGCCTGTAAAGCACTAGTAGCTTACAATGGCTAATCAGGTGGTAAGCTGAGATCACTGCTTAATATAAGTAACTTGTTTCCTTTATCTCCACCTTCTCTTGTTTTTTCTCATCCATCTGTTGCATCTTGTTATAAAATAGATCTTTCCACAGGAACTTGTCTTTTTACTGTATATCTCTCTAGGCATCTGATTATGACTGCTTATCTTTTATTGCTTAAAAAAAACCAAGTAATGTTCATAGACCAACAGTCCAGAAAAATGAGCAGTGTCTTTTCCTGATATCTTATATACATTTTCTATTGTAATTAGAGTAACCGAAGAAAATGAAATCAATTTTTTTTCTGTTACTTAACCACAGTTCTTTGATCCTTTTCAGGGTGTCTACATGGGCTGGTTAACTGCCTCTGGAAGTGGAGCACGTATACTGGGCCCAGTGTTTGTGAGCCAAATATATACTCACTTGGGACCTCGTTGGGCATTCAGCTTAATCTGTGGAATAATTGTATTCTCTCTCTTACTCCTGGAAGCAGTGTACAAGAGACTTACTGCATTTTCAGTCAGATATGGAATGATGCAAGGGTAGATTTATTTTTAGCTATGTAAAACGAAAATCAGACATATGTAATTGTCTTGTTTTTAAACAAGGGTGCCTCAATACAGGCCTATAGAGCTGTACTTGTAACTGAGCAGTGGAGCCTGTGAAGTATGCATAGCCTAATCACCGCTACATCTTGATTAATGAAATTATGCTAAGATTGCATTCTTCCTTGATAGCAAAAGTAGGAAAGCTATGTTTGATCACAATACAGCGCTAGGGTAGTGCATGCTGGAGTTCGTAGTTTCCAAAAGTGTCAGACCTTTGTGTTAAACGAAATGGCAACCGTAGGCCCTAGTTGTAGGAGTATAGTGGCCATATTGTAAGCACACCCTTTTTAAAAAGAAAAAAAATGCTGCCTTGATTCTATGAATCAGGATTATTAAAGCTTCTTGTAACTACAAGGTTGACTGAACCATGTGCACTTTGAATCAAAACACCTACCTCTTTTAATCAAATAAGTGAATGTTTGTTTGTTTTCTGAAGTGCAGATTGTTTCAATGAATTAACCAACAGCGAATAGGAAAAATAAACATTTTATTCTAACAAGACACCCGTAATTTATTGTGAAATAGATATGGGTGGCAACTATTCAAAATATTCCAACAGCTTTGAGTGATTTAAACTGAAATATAAACACTCAGGCTGGGATTTTCACAGGAACATCTTTGAATTTGGTGTCCAACTCCGATTGAATTTTAATGGGTTTTGGGTATCTAACTCTTAGTTTCCTGGAAAATCCCAGTCTAAAATGAGTTATTTGCAGATCATAATTTAATGCATAAAAGTTCAAGAATGTGATTTATATAATTACACAATCACATAATAAGTTATGACAAGACATCAAATCAGATTCACTAATGGATAAGAATTATGCATTCTAAACTGTATTTCAAACAAAGAAGTATCCCTCTGTAGCTGAAATTAGAGCCATGGCTGCTCTTCAGTATGTCTAACTGTACGCTGATTTTAGCATTACATTTGTAATTGAGTATCTATAAGCCAAGGTTAGAACACAGACTAGTGAAATAAAGTTACTTTAAATGCTGACTGAAGGGAGGTCATAAAATTTCCATTCCCTCTGCAGAATCAAGAGCATTTAAAATAGGAAAGGAGCTTGCTCTCAAAGAAGTTTCTGTACTACAGAATAGGATACTTTAAGCATTCCAGCACAAACTCGCTAATAAAATAACCAATTAATGTTAAGAATTCTCTTGAGGGAAGAGTTTTGAAATGGTGATAGAGAACCTGTGTTTAGAGGGCCACAACAAACTAATGACCCACCTTTCTGATTAAAGCCAAGAGTAAGTTATAGCTTTCAAAGAGCAACATGATTAAATATTTTACTATAATAGTAATCAGTTAAGTCACTTTGTGTTTGTGTTATGGGTTAATAAAATTACCTCATGCAATATATGGGCTATGTGGTTCTTTAGGGCGGTGGGGCACATACCCTGAAGCGTAAGCTTTAGCTAGTTCTGTGGGAAGTATCCAAGGAGGGTTTAGTGTTGTATTTTAAAGTATCTTTTACTTAACTAGATTTTTAACTTAAATTTAAAATTTTAGTCACCAGCCTCTTTATAAAACATGAGTTAGAGATAGCTGTATAGGACACTCCTGCTCAAAAGATGGCATTGTTCAATGTATATTATCTATTTATGAGTTGATTTCTTCCTTCCTTGAGAGTCAGAAGAAAATGAGCTCTAGAGCAGTGGTTCTCAACCTTTCCAGACTACTGTACCCCTTTCAGAAGTACCTCCAAATTTCACCTCATTTAAACTACTTGTATTTTAATGTCTGATTTAGTAAGCAAGTATTGCAGCATGCTATTACTGAAAAATTGCTTACTTTTTCATTTTTACCATATAATTATAAAACAAATAAATTGGAATATACTGTACTTACATTTTTATTGTGTAATATATAGAGCAGTATAAACGAGTCATTGTCTGTATGAAATTTTAGTTTGTACTGACTTCGTGTTTGCTTTTTATTTAGCCTCTTATAAAACCAGGCAAGTTTCTAGATGAGTTGATGTCCCCCCCCAGCTGTACACACAACCTTGGTTGAGAACCATTTCTTTAGAGCACTCTGGCTATAAGACTATCAATCAGTCTTAATGGACCTGGCCTATTATGTTCTATGCATTCCTCACCTAGCAGACTTACTTATCTATCCTGTGTTACCTACTTGTGCATAGATAGTTGGATTTTTTTTCTAGCAAAAAAATGCAACATCCAGTTTCAATTGCACCACTAACCCCTATCAGGATGCTGTTCTACTCTTATCTCAGGTTGATCACACATATGCCCAAAGCTGGATACTACCATAAGTGTATAGTACAGGGGTCGGCAACCTACGGCACGCGTGCCAAACATGGCATGCGAGCCGATTCTGAGTGACATGCTGCTGCCCACTGAGAGGAGGAGGAGGGACCAGAATGCACCATGCTGCGGGAAGAAGGGGGAGGGGAAAGCTTGGCTGCAGCAGGATCAAGCTTTTGCCTCCTGCCCCTGCAGGGGAGAGGGTCCTGCCCCACTCAGCCCCCCTGCCCACCACTCTCCCCTGCGGGGGCAGGAGGCTAGGGTTACCATATTTTGTGCCTCCCAAAGGAGGACACTCCACGGGGCCCCGCCCCCTCCCCTGCTTCCCGCGAACATTTGAGTCGCGGGAAGCCTGAAGCAGGTAAGGGGGAGTGTGGGGGAAGGAGGCACGGCCCAGGCTGGCCCCGGCCCTGGGGTGCCGGCCCCGGGCCCGGCCGACCACCCCCGGCCCGCCCAGCACTGCGGTCCCCGGCCCGGCCCCCAGCCGAGCACCCCCGGCACCGCACCGCCGGCCCGGCCCCCAAGCCCCCGGCCTGGCACCGCTGGCCCGGCCCCCGAGTCCCCG